GGAAGACACTGTGTTAATTTATTTGCAAAAATTAAATCTGATATAAAAGAAAAAGGGCTGAATCTCGATAACATTGTTGATTTTTATAAACTTAAAGAAATTGCTAAAAACAGAACCCGATGGAAGGCAATGTATAAGGATGTTCCATTTTTGTAAAATGTGGCTGTGACTTATCAGACACAAAATTTATTTCGTGTCTGTCAAAAGTTTAATAATAATAATAATCTTTAACTCACCAGTAAACATCTGCTACTGAAAACCAGGTATAAAATGAAGCATTTACGCTCACAAATTTGGTATTCTAACCATCAATATAATAACGCGTGCATCACCAACTGATGCCAGCTTCGCTCTGCCGACATGATGTCAAAGCTCGCTCTACCTCACAAATACAAAGATAACGCTGGGGGCGCGCTGCGTAGGAAAGATCTAACACAAGTACAGTAAGTAAACAAATACTGTACAGTATTTGCTGTGGCATCTGCTGATACCAAACACTTTTGATCACTTATTTTATATTTTTGAGGTACATGGACATAACATTTTAAAACTAAAAGCTAATTTGTTATTTTTAAAAAATGAACTGTCACAATGTCTGGGGATTCTAGCAGGGATGTAGTTATGGTGGGCGGGGACACCCATCCTTGAAGTTTTCCACCCAGTCTGAAACTAATTTCATGGCCCTCCAACCAACGTTATTAACCCACTTTTCCATCCGTTTACTAATGTTATCACCCACCCATCCTTAAAATGTCTTATCTCAACCACCCTTAATTTTCTACAGCTACAACATAGGTATGTAATAGAGAAAGAAGTTATACCCATCATGAATAAAACAAAGCACTCGCATCTTTTGATAGGAGTTTGTTCTGCATCTGAAACAGCACCTTTATCGGCTATATTATTGATGTCTGCTTCGGGTCTTAAAGTAGTAGGCATAATAGCATCGTCATTGTAGCTTTCATCTTTAAAAAATTTGAAAATAAAATGGGACAATGAGTACACAACGTAAGTAGAATTATCCCACCTACCTTTTTAGCTGCACTAATAATATCAAATTTCCTGTACAGTAATAATAAAATGTGTATTATTCTGTATTCATTTGTTTTTGTTTTTTTTTAAACAGTAACAGTTTTTTTTTGGACAGTAAATTCATCATGTGAACAGTGTAAATTCACCAAAAAAATAAGATTTAATTCAATCATGAAATCCTATTAAGTTCTGTATTTTTAAATAACTTACCACTTTCCAGCCTCCGTTTACTAGGCGTTGATGTATTGGACAGAGCACCTGAGAAAAAGGCAAATAGTGGTGTAGAGTACATAATAATTTGTTGTAATTGAATTTTTATAATTTCATTAAACATCAGGGATTTTAGCGATATTATACAGAAATAAAGACTGATCAAAAATGAATTACAGTAAACCTAATAACTGACAACACTGTATCTCACTTTGTATTTTAAACTTTTTTATTTGGATGTTTACTGCTTTTATATTGTTTCCCCTGATCCTTTTATTATTGAAATTATATGTTGTTATATTGTTATTGTAGGCCTGTTATTACTTTTATTATTACTTTTATTATTATTATTATTATTATTATTAATAATGTTTTTTGCATCTTTACTTCTATGACATAAACTGCTGTAGCCTCATTTTGTGTGTATTTTTAATATTTATTTATTTATTTGGTTTATTGCCGTTTCGACTCATTGCCATTTTGGTCCATGCCATTCTGCTGAAAATGTGTTACAGTTTTGGTTTCTTTGCCGTTTAGGTCATTGCCCTTTGGACTTATTGCAGTTTTGGTTTATTGCGTTTTAACTAGAAAGCCATCTAAGTATATTTATTATTAGGGTTAGAGTGCCATTTGGAGTTCCATTTATACAGTAATGAAGGTTATTTTTTACCATCGAAATATATTGCACACCTCACGTCTACACCATAACCTTCTTCTATAACACTTGGACCTTCACCTAAGCATGGTGGTATAATATGGACAGGCCTTCTGCATTCAAAACACTTGTGTGAACAACATTCCTTCATGCACACCACACATATGGGTCCTAATTGAAAAAGAAAAGGATTTTATTGTAGTTATTATTTAATACATATTCACAAATTCATTATAATGATTTGATCAATCTGACTTCAGCTTCATATTATTTCTTCTAAAGGTATAAATAAATGATGAATTTTGAAAATTACTCTAGGAGGACAAGGACAGGTAATCAAGATATTATGCTAGCCACACTTAGCCTAATTCTAATTTTAAATAATTTATTGTATAATAAATTCTGTTAAGAGGTATATAATAACAAAAACAAATGACATATGCGGCCCTAGGCACCCTACCTAGGCCTTGTTTGTAACCATGACAATGTGGTTGACAGATTTCATGCAAAATTTCCAAAATATAGAATTTTACTTTCAAGAATGAGGATTTGAAAATAAATTAGATGGTTACATTGCATACTCTTTGGAGGTCCTGGCGCAACCCCTGCATGTAAACAAAATTAAAAGCCAAACCACAAGAATGTAGTGACCGCGTTGCAGGTTTCCATGTACAGTAAATTGATTATCACGAAAGAACTTGTTCACCACAGTATCTGAAAGAACTAATTTGCATGCATATGCATGTCTTGTATGACTATATTCACTAGTTACCATGTGGCCTAAATGAATAATAAGAATTGTACATGAAATATCCAGGACATATAGAAATTGATAAAAAATACAGATTACAATCCACTTCATCAAATAGTGACATTTCAGAAAATTTCATGGTACATTATAATTATGCAGAGCTGGAAAAAGTGTGCGACCTCGCGACCAGCGGTGAGTGACATCATGTCCCGAGAGGCCTTTTTAGGGGAAAAACATTCAAAAATAATAATAATAAATAAACTGTTGGGCTTTATAGTGTACAAATAAAATTTTGGCGCTAGAAGCAATTTTATTGAGGTGATTTTCATAGTCGGATGAGGCACAAATTCTTCCAGGTCTGATCATAATATTTAAAACAATACAGGTAGAAGAGAAAGTAAAATAATAATAAATATATATGTGTGTGGGAAGAATGCAATAAAAACCAACGATTTTTAAATGTTAGCTATCTTTACTACAAAGAAATGGGCTACAGTATATCAGTTGACAAGGTAAAGCCAATATATTCGATATGTTAACTATCTTTAAAGATAATAAATATAAATGATACTTTGTAATAAACAGTTTCACTTTCTTTCTCATTTGAACTGATTCACACTGATGTACTGTACTTTCATTGTAAAAGGCGGCCATGTACACCAGTATAGGGCCTATGTACCGCGAGCCTGCATTGGCTTTATTGCACGGTTTCACATTAAACTGATTTACATGGATAAAGATTGTTCACTGTTCCAGAGACGGCAAGTAATATAGGTCTACATACGGTTGCAAGCCTCGCATAGTTGCACCCGCTGTTTACTATGAATACTAATGATACGAACAAGTGTAAACAACGATCAGTTTACTCATAATACCGTACTAGCGCGAATAAGCGATATATATTTTTTGCACTTTCTGAGGGGCGCTTATTCAAACGGGGCGCTTATGAAAACAGAGTGGAAATTGAGGGGGCGCTTATGGAAATAGATGAAAATCGATGGGTTCTTATGGGAAATTATTAAATTCAAGAGGCACTTTTGAATGAAAAGGACATTGAATGGTGGTTAGGCGGAAAAGATAGGCCTAATCCTCCAGAGAACATGGCTCATGACAAGAATGCTGTGAATATTTTCATAACAGCAAAATAGCAGATGCAATTAGTGGTGGTGGGTATTAGTTAGCTTATTGGCCATCGGCCGATTGAGATTAGCAGGATGGCGGGATCATTGTATTTTTTCTTGGAAACTCAGATGAGAATGTGCTAAAGGTCGGAAAAAGAAAAAGAGGAGTAGGACTAGGCATAAACAATATGTACAAAGAGTAAAGTTGGAAATATACTGTCTGTCCTGTCCAGGGATCGGAGCTCTCATCTGTCCAAGAGAAATATCCTCATTTTGATATTGACCTAAGAAGAATGTGTTTCCATTCTGTAGCTCAAATCATGCCAACATCCCATTGATTGGATTATTGACTTGCTAAAAAGAAAATATATTATTGAAGGGGCGCTTATTCAAACGAGGCGATTAAAGACATTTTCACGTTATTCGAGAGGGGCGCTTATTCGCGCGAGTACATGCATGTAATTTTAATTATAGTAGTCGTATATTGCCAGTAAACAATGACTAAAAAACATGTAAGAACAAACATAAACTCATTACAAACAAGACGGGAACTAATTAAACTGTAGTGGCCTAGGCTTTCAGTGTCATAACTCGTAGGCCAATTAAGTATAGAAAAAAAAAACACGAAAACGTACCTCAATCTCAAAACTAAACATTAACAGTTACAAGAAATGTTCTCTTCTCGATAAGAGCACATTCTGGGCTCCTGTCTTTATTCTTCTATTCTGGCGGATAAAAAGATTTGAAAGCACTGTTCTCTGTTGGTATTTAATGCATGGCGGCAATGTCATCGTGTACGCGAAATTTACATTCTCTCTTGATCGTAGCATGGAGGTTCTTCCTCCATGGTCCGTTAGTACCCACTCATAGAAACAAATTAAAACAATCAATAGAGATATCTTCCGGTTTTAAATAGAGATATCTTAGTTTTAAATAGCCTCAATATATATTTTTTAAATAGTAGAGATATCGCTTATTTAAAACTATATTTCTATTCAAAATTAATCTCTATTAATAGAAACGTTAGTTTTAAGTCCGGCGTATTTTACTGTCTCGATGATATTCGACAACAAGACTTTTGCCTTTTGGTATATATTTATTAACTCTCATCAAGATCATCAAGACGTAAAATTAATGTAAAATAAGTAAAAACAATGATTAAACAATTAAATTAGGCAATAAGAAACCCACTGCACCTCGACAATACCAATGGTATCAGCCTATCCTATGACTTCATAAATATTCATTTGTGCAGTCAAACGTGACGAGTCACTGGCGAAGGTCTATCTTCAAATGTTAACATGCGATGTATTACATAGGCTTATTGGTTATTATCAAACCGTCACTACATTACTAAATCTAACAATTGCTTAGACTTATGATTATAACTCAATAATCAAACGGTGTTGTTCTATAATTATGACTGTACACAGCCGCAATAATATTATAAACAGGAACAACAAATATAAAGGTAAAATACATGCATTAGTTAGACTGACTCCTTGCCTACTCATGTTGCAACCTGTAGTCTAGCACAAAACAACGATGGAATGCTTCTCATTCCAAATCACTAATATTACTGTACTGTTCATATCTACAGTACAACTATATATTCCACAACAGATCATGTACATACCAGTCCCACAACAGCTAAATTAAGGCATAGTAAAACGGTGTATTCGACTTCCTAACTTCAAATGGACGCTTTCCATTAACAATATGTACTCCTACAGTATGGCGTCCCTAGTTTCCAACGCGCAACACTCGTTCTTTACCGCACTAAACTTTCGGGACTCTACTATTATACTACAAGGTATGTTATATATGTATGAACCAACAGAGGGCCTCCTATATGAATCTATATTCATCACATGCCTCCCTTAAATTTTTAACAAAATTTACCTACAAGCAGTATAACATTAACATAAGTTCAACAATACAATACAAAGAAATATAATGTTCAAAACGAATGTTTTTTGTTTTTTTTTTCAACGAATGTTTTTTTTTTTTTTTTTTTTTTTGTCCAAATGCTCAAATGGTATAAGCAACAAGATCATCTCTTGATCAAACAGGATGAAATAATATTTTCATAATCAACGATTCGCAAACAGTCCAACAATGTTCTATTAAATCAACTTCAGATCAATGTTTTTTTGTTTTTTTTTACATCGCAAACAACAGTCTGTGTAAGTGCTCCACATATTCCACACTACTTAATACAGATGTCATCTTCAGCAAGAAACTTCGTATCAAAAGGGCGGCGCTAGGCTCACACCCAATAGAGCACACAAAGGCTCCTTGGCGGGGATAACCCCTATAATTAGGACATCAATTTTTTCAATTTTTTTTTTTATATATATAAGGCGGCGCTAGGCTCACACCCAATAGAGCACACAAAGGCTCCTTGGCGGGGATAACCCCAATTCGCTATTCATCTTCTCCAGTAATAAACACTAACTTGTGTACAGGTCGATCCATTTTGACCTTCTTTGATCCAACATACACTTGCACCTTTCGAACAAGACCGTCTTCACTGGGATACATTGCAATTACTCTAGCAAATGACCAATGATTCCTAGGTGCATTTTCTTCAATAACAAGCACAACGTCGCCTATCTTAATATTTTTACTCTCCTTTGTCCACTTGCTTCTGGTTTGTAGATTAGACACATATTCCTTTCTCCACCTATTCCAAAATTCCTCTACCAGATGTTGAACTCTACGCCACCTTTTTCTACAGTACTGGTTGGTATGTGTAAACTTTCCTGGCGGTGGCAACACTACACTTGCCTTGGCAGTGAGCAGATGGCTTGGCGTTAATGGCTCCATAGAAGCTTCATTCAAACTGGTCAATGGTCTGCTATTCACAATTGCCTCTGCTTCAACCATGAAAGTATGTAACATCTCGTCATCAAACAAACCTTATGTTTAAATAGTAGATTGTTCAAAACGTTTCGGGTACTCCTAATCATCCGTTCCCAAACCCCACCCATGTGACTAGCACATGGTGGGTTTAAGATCCAATCACAGTTCAACTTTAACATTTCTGCCTTATACTACATCCTGGTCCATTTCTTGTAGTGCCTCTCGCAACTCCTTTATGGTTCAAATAAAATTTGTACCTTAATCTGAGCGCACCTGTCTAACTGGTCCTCGTCTTACTATGAAGCGTCTGAAGGCATTTATGAATGAATCTGTTGAAATGGAATGTGAAACTTCTAGATGAATTGCCCTCGAGGCCATGCATGTAAAGAGCACTCTGTACCGCTTAATCTCTCTACGTCCACATTTCACCATCCAAGGGCCAAAATAGTCAACTCCACAGTAGCAGAATGGAGGAGCTGGATGTAGTCTGTCTTCTGGGAGATCAGCCATCTTTTGACAACTAGGTTGTCTTCCCATACTATGACACATTTTATATCCGTATATCCATCTTAATACTGCGGACATACCACCCACTATCCAAAAGCCAGCTGAATTTTATACTGTTGTGCGTTATGCCACGCCCTTCATGGTGAACCTTTTGATGATAATGATTGACCAGCAACCTGGTAACTTCACATTTGGCAGGCAGGATTACAGGATGTTTAAGATTCATAGAAAGGTCCGACTTCCTCAGCCGCCCACTAACCTTCAGCAGACCATCTATCCCTCACTGGGTCTAGCTTGGCCAACTTGGTCCAATTTGGATAGGCACTCTGCTGAGCTGCCCTTATCAGCAACTTCTCGGCTTGACTCATATCTTCAACCATAATATTGCCTGAACGCTTACCACCCTTCAACTTATAAATGAAGATGTCTTAATTCACTGCTATTACGTATTAGCTGGAACCTGTTTGCTACAAAGGTATGGAAGCGCTTAGCATCATTAGCTATGTAGCCTAAAACGACCTTACTGTCAGTCCAAAAAATGGTCCTTTAAGTTCTTGTAGCAACTCAGTTCTCTTCTCAAAATTGTAGTGATCTTGACTGACACTGTAGCGGCAACAAGTTCCATTCTAGGGATTGTTGTTGGTTTTCTGGGCCCCACTCTAGCTTTACTCATCACTAAAGAGCATTTCACACAGTTATTATTGTCAACAAGTCTCAAATATGAACATTCACCATACCCATCCACACTTGCGTCACAAAAATGATGCAGTTCAGCAGACTTAATGGACGATGGTTCCTTTAGGTTTGGCTTGTAACACCTATCAATCCGGACATTATTAGATATTTAAGTATTTTGATCTTTCCACTGCTTCCACTTCTGCTCAACACTTGTTGGAATTGGTTGATCCCAATCAGATTCATTGGTACACAGATGTTGCAGTATCTTCTTGCCATTCAAGACATATGGTGAAAGAAACCATAGAGGGTCAAAAATTGAGTTCACCATAGATAAGACACCTCTACGAGTGGAAGGGCGTTCTCTAACACAGGAACTAAATTGAAAGGCATCTGAACCAGCATCCCAGAGTATACCCAGGGTTCGTTCTGTAGGAAGTGTGCTCCACTGTTTGCATCCTTTAGCCACTGAACTGCTCGGCAACGATTTTAATACCTCTTCATTGTTTGCCACAATTTTATGCAAGCGAAATCCTGCATCTTTGCACAGCTCTATTGGTCGCTTAGCGAGACTAACACCTTCCTCAACTGTGGACACCGATATTAAGCCATCGTCTACATAAATATGGTTTCTAACAAAGTCTGCTGCATCAGATCCATACTTGCTTTCATACACATCTGCGGCCTTTTTTAAGGCATAATTTGCTACTCCAGGAGATGATGCTGCCCCAAAAATGTGAACCTTTATCCTGTATTCCTTGGGTGCTGAGCTTAGATTGCCATCCTCCCACCATAGAAATCTCAAGAAATCTCTATCACAAGGTCGAACTAGAACCTGATTGAACATCCCTTCGATGTCTCTAACGATTGCAATCGGTTCCACTCTGAACTTCAATAGGACACCCAACAAACAGTTCGTCAGATTTGGACCTTGAAGAAGGTATCATTCAGTGAGGATCCCTTGTAACGAGCTGCGCAATCAAACACTACTCTTGTTTTGTTTGGTTTTCTTGGGTGGTAAACCCCATGATGTGGGATGTAATTGGCAGGAGCAAGTTGGTGATCTGGCACTCCTTCCGTTAGACAGCATACCATTCATGAATGTAACATAATCATTTCTGAATTTTGTACTCCTCTTCAACCTGTGTTTCAGCTGATCTGACTCTATCTGCTTCTTCGCTGACCATGTTAGCTGTATAAATTTATAACTCAAAATCCGGTTTACTTCTGCTTACTTGGACCAATGGTAGAACACTACAACAGGATTCGGTTATGTAATTTTACTGTTACGTCGGGCGTATTTTACTGACTTGATGATATTTGACAACACTTTTGCCTTTTGGTATATATTTATTAACTGTCATCAAGATCATCAAGATGTAAAATTAATGTAAAATAAGTAAAAACAATGATTAAACAATTAAATTACGCAATAAGAAACCCACTGCACCTCGACAATAGCAATGGTATCAGCCTATCCTATGACTTCATACATATTCATTTGTGCAGTCAAGCGTGACGAGTCACTGGCGAAGGCCTATCATCAAATGTTAACATGCGATGTATTACATAGGCTTATTGCTTATTATCAAACCGTCACTATATTACTAAATCTAACAATTGCTTAGACTTATGATTATAGCTCAATAATCAAACGGTGTTCTTCTATAATTATGACTGTACACAGCCGCAATAATATTATAAACAGGAACAACAAATATAAAGATAAAATACGTAAAGGCTACATGCATTAGTTAGACTGACTCCTTGCCTACTCATGTTGCAGCCTGTGGTCTAGCACAAAACAACGGTGGAATGCTTCTCATTCCAAATCACTAATTTTACTGTACTGTTCATATCTACAGTACAACTATATATTCCACAACAGATCATGTACATACCAGTCCCACAACAGCTAAATTAAGGCCTAGTAAAACGGTGTATTCGACTTCCTAACTTCAAATGGACGCTCCATTAGCAACATGTACTCCTACAACACTCGTTCTTTACCGCACTAAACTTTCAGGATTCTACCATTATACTACAAGGTATGTTATATATGTATGAACCAACAGAGGGCCTCCTATATGAATCTATATTCATCACAGTTAGTTTTAAATAGAGATATCTTAATGTAAAATAAGATATTAATATCTATCAATAGAGATATCAGTTAAATAAGATTTCTTAAATCTTAAATAAGATATCTCTATTTACGATGAAGCACTGTAGTTTACTCGATACACCACTGAACTCTGTATCGCGAGGGGAAGGTTTGGCAGGCATGCATATTCATTATATCAGTTCACCTAACTGACCTAAAATATTGCCCTCTATAATTTCTGCCTTAACTGTATGGGAAGAAAATAGAGTGGCCACCTCGCCATTAGACGTCATAGTGAGGGCGCCTACGCGGGAAGTGGGAAGTCTGATTTTCGCCTCTACATTATGGTGTAAATTTGTATAAAATGCTAGTTCTATATTACATTGATGTTTAAAATATTCTCTTATACACTGTTTGAACAACAGGAATCCCTTAAATAGATGCAGTTTGTGTTTTCAAGTTCACATTTTCAAGACATTATAACGTAACTCTTAGGCCGATCGTTTTACGCTTTCAAGCACTTCTTTGTTTGAGATGCAGGCTTTGGCTTGATCTACTGATCGGAGATCTAATGTTCAAGCAGAAGCTAAGCTTGCCTAAAAACTCGGCCATTGTTAATTTATTCGGATTACACAATACAAGCTGATAAGTAAAAAATGCATTCTGTGAACAGTAATAACAAGATGATAGCAAAGTCCCCCACAACACCCAGTTCTAGGTCAAAATTAAATAAGCCTAACGTCAATGAAAACGGGAAAGATGTATGTACGCAAAAGAATCAGACCAGCAATAGGCATATGTCTTCTGCACATGACTCAACATCTACTGCTTCAGTTCCAGAAATACCATCTTCTAAGCCCACCACTAGGCCTACTACCAGTAATAATAATAATAACAGTATCAAGCTGCTCATGTAACAGCCTCAAGAATACAGTGCATTCAGGATTGTCAACTTGGAAACCTGGACAAAGATAAACCACTCTGCCAAGAACATTACCATAGACTTGCCTAAAAAAATAAAATCTGTGTCTAACCCAAATGTTTGGATATGCCCGCTATGCAAGGACATTCCACAGACAGTTAAGACACTAATACGGCTCAATTCGGATCCAGATAAAATGATTATTGATTTGAATAAGAACATTTCCTCTCTATCTACTGTCATTAGTGAGCAAAGGTTAATGATTGAAAGTCTTCAAGAATCTTTAAATGCCATAGTAGCTACACCAGTTTCACTAAAACAACCTGATAATCCATCAAAATCTAATGACAAATCTGCTACCCCACAAAAAGGGATGAACGAACAGCTTTCAAGTGAACGTATCAGCAAACCCACTCTATTGATTGGCGACTCTATTATTAGAGATATAAACGAGCGAGGACTTCATGACACTAAGGTACATTGTATATGTGGAGGAAAAATAGATGACGCCAAAAAATACCTGGAAAAGTCCATGAAAAGACCAGATCGCCTGCAACAAAACTTGTGCTTTCAACTGTTTGCCCTCGCTCGGATAAAGCCGACCATCAACAGCGTGTCACAGGACATTAGCACTCTCAACTGGTAGTGAGCTAGTTGACAACGACACCATCTCAAGATCAAACCTAAATGGTGGAGGCCTTCATTTATACAAAGAAGGAAAAGGCTGCTGCTTAACAATATCAATGCTGTTAGTGAAATTATTAAGAAAAAGATGAGAAACGATTTCAGAAGAATCCCTACATCTAGAAACAGATCGCATTGCAACACATTATACGGTCAATATCAGACTATACCAAACCTTCATCTCACTCATGGTACGGAGTGGAACTATGATCAATCCGGAAGATAACACAACGACCAACGTTACTTCGATAACACTAATCAAGGCTATGACATGTATGAACCTTACGGTGCAGCTCCACAATTACGTAATCGTTCAAAATAGGACAATGCCAGTAATGCAGATGCTCTAGAAAAATCAAACTTTCGCAATATTCTTTCAGATAATCTTTTGATCAATGAAAACATCAAACAAGGTAACGCTCCTGAGCAACGACATGTAGCAAGAAAACCGTCAGTAAGTAATAAGCAGAATAAAACGCATCGTCATCGAAGAGGAGGAAAGCGCAATTCAAAAATAAGTAATCATAATATAAATACATTAAATATATGTTTTAACAATGTCAATCATCTAAGTAAATCCAGATTATATGTAATTGAGCTGTTTTTATACAATAAAAAATTTGATATTTTTGGAATTGCAGAAACGTGTCTAAAGGGTAACATTGAAAATATTGCTAAAGGTTTTAATTGGGTTGGAAAACAACGAAAGGAAAAGGGGGGGGGGGTGGTGGGATTGGTATATTAATATCTGAAAGAATTAGAATTATTTGTGAT